GTAGTGGAATTATTCAGTATTCAGAAAGCTCAGTCTCTCCCAGCCCCCAAAATTGAGTGCATTAATTCTTCCAGAAACTGAGTGGGGGAAATGGGGGTTTGAAGTTTCCTGATTGGTCAATGATGGGGATGGGATCTGAACCCCTAAAAGGAAAAGACCATGTCTTTGGGATCTGGACCCCTAAAAGGAAAAGCCCTGGACTTTCCCCGGTGGCGCAGGTCCCTAGTTCCCTAGTCTCTGGCATTCCCCTGAGGCTATAATCCTCTCAAACTGGTCTTTCTTTGTGGCCTACTCCCAAACCTCCCAATTCTGTTGCTCAGCCCTCCATTGTCTGTTACCTCCACATGGCCCCCAGCTACTTCCCACCCTTGATCCTATCTAGACCCCATTCTACCTCCCAGACACCTCAGCTACTGGCCACTCCCATCAAGATCCTCCCCAGACCCCTTCTCCCAGGCACCCCAAACTAGTTGGCCACTCCTAGATTCCTCCCACAGTCTTTCCGTATATAAGATCCATCTTTGCCTCCATTAAGGTGCTCAGATTCCTTAAGAGTCGAACCTATGCTCAGATCCTTTTTTTTTTTAAATAACAATTTGTCTATTTATTGAGCACCTTAACAGCAAATTTCCGAAGAGGGTACAGGTGTTCCTTCCTCTGCTGTTTTTGGGTCTTCAGGCTTTCCTCAAGCTTATTAAGCCTGTAGCACATGACACGGTCTTCTTGAGCTGAAGGTCCAGGGGCTTGTATTTCTTGCCCTTATAGAATTTCCTGAGATTCTCTTTGTGTCTGGTTGATGACAGTCAGAACAATAGATTTTCGGAAGACTCGGATCTTAGAAAAGCTTAGATGCAGCTGCTCCAGTGACCTTGGCCACTCTCAATTGGTAAGTTTCACCTTTAAGTCATCTGTTTGAGTAGCTCCTCTTTCTTCCCACGAAGATCACTAGCCTTGATTTTTGCCATGCTCTCAGAACAGTCATACCGCCACCAGCTCTGAGGGGAAAGAGTTAAAGGCCTATGCTCAGATTCTTAAAATCTGACCAAAGGCTCAGATGCAATCTGGCTCATTTGCATTAGCGATACAAATGCTTAGATTCCTTAAGAGTCTGGCCGATGATGGTGGATTCTTAAAATCTCACCCACCCCATCTGTGTTCTAATAAATTTTGTCTTTGTCTGAAAGAAAGCTTGGGTTGAATTCATTCAGGTAAGACCCTCGTCGCTATTTCTGGGTCCCAGCACCCCTAAACCTCAAAATCACCACCTGAAATGCTGTTCCAGGTTGCAGAATATGGGGTCACTGGGCTGGATGGATAACAAGGTGACTCGGGTGGAATGTGAAGCAGGGTCTAATGCTCCAAGACCTGGGGCCTCCTAATTAATGGGGGCTAGTTGAGTTGCCCAAGTAGGTGAATCAAAAACAAGAGGGGTTAAGAGTTGCCATCCTCTTGGGGGAAGGGAGGGACTGGAGATGACTGGAGCTAAACTAGGCCTGAAGAATCATAGTTAAACCAGGTAGCTGAGAGTTAAACCAGGTAGCTGAGACCTTCTAAGTGCCACTCAGTCAGAGATTTGGTGGATTTCTTTTACTGTGATGTAGTGAATTGAGTATTGAATCTGGAATCAAGGACTTCGGTTCTCGATCCAGATGTGCTTCTTCAATCCATTTGGATGAACATATGCTAGGCACTGTGGGAACTGCTGGAAATACAGAGATAAAAATAGATGAAAAATTTGTCTTTCAGCATTCAGTTTCCTCATCTATAAAATAAGAGTCTCTAGACTACAAAGTCTCTTAAATTTCCTTCTAACCCTAAATCAAATCCCTTTTGTTTATGTAAAGGGGATTGATTAAGGGGACTTTACCCCAATAGTACAACCCATCAGTTCCAAGCTAAAGGGTAATTTGGTAGCCAGGAAGCATTAGTCTATGGAAGGACCATGGGAAAACCTAATGTGGAAGGTGGTGCTTCCACTAAGCTTTGAGGAATACTAGGGATTCTAGGGAGGGACTGCAATCTAGGCTAGAGGGAATGGCTTGTAGTAAATTCTCAGAGGTGGGGAGTGGAAGTTTTAGTGAAGAACAGCAAAAAGGAAGATAATGAGGCAGAAAAAGGCAGGTGGGAGTCAGGTTGTGAAGGGCTTTAAAATGCTAAACAGAGAAGTTTGTATTTGCTTCTGGAGGTAATCACAGAAAATTATGGTAGCGTTAAAAAAAATCTTTAAAAATAAATGTAAAAACCAGATCCTGGCACATGCACTCCGTGGTTTACAGTGTGTTGAGACAGAATAGAAGGGAGAGAAGTAGTGGATGCCAAGGCACTGTGGCAGTGGCAGAATTGCAAGGGTAAATATATTTGGGTTGGAAAGATCTCTGAATCCAGAGGGCCAGGGCTAGCTCAGAGGCTGGGCCTAGTGTAGGCTTCAGTAATCAAGAAAGTAACAGAAAGTTGAAAGCCCTGTATCTGAATGCAGAGGTTCTCAGGTTTCAAGAAGGGCTTAGATACTAAACTTTATACCCTTTGATCTAGCAAGATCACTAGCAGGGATATACCCCAAAGGGATCAAATAAGAACAAAAAATAGGTACAAAAAAAATATCTATAGGGGCAGCTCGGGGCGCAATGGATAAACCTCCAGCCTTGGAGTCAGGAGGACCTGAGTTTAAATCTGACCTCAGACACTTGACACTTACTAGCAGTGTGACCCTGGGCAAGTCACTTAACCCCGATTGCCTCACCAAAAAAAAAAAATTATAGCAGCAGCTCTTTTTGTGGTGGCAAAGAACTGGAAATTAAGGTGCTGCCTGTCCCTTGGGGAATGGGTGAATTTATTATGGAATATGAATGTAATGGAATACTGTTGTTCTATAAGAAATGACAAAAAGGTTCAGAGAAACCCAGGAAGACTTTTATGAACTGATGCAAAGTGAAGTGGGCAGAAACAGAACAGTTTATACAACTGTTGTAAGATAAACAACTTTGAAAAACTTGATCAGCAGTAATCACAAAAAAAAAAAAAAGATTCCAAACAACAATGATGAAGGCTGCTACCTATTTCCTGACAGTGAAGTGATAGGCTCAGGGTACTGAATGACACATGGACGTGGCCAATGGGGAGGATTTGTTGTGCTTGACTATGAATATTTGTTACAAGAGTTTTCTTTTTCTTTTCATAGAGGTGGGGGTGGGGAGAGGAAGGTGGGAAGGAAAGAAAATAAGTTTTGGTTAACTAAAATAATTTTTTTAAAAAGGTGGAGCTCAAAAAACTTTCTTTAATTCGGCGAGGTCCCAATTCAAGGTCAGGTCTAAGCCGGAGGGGCCAACTGGGACCTAATTTCCAATCCAAAGGCCACAAGACCACGGAAGGATCCACAGAAACCCCAAAAGTATCCAAAGTTTGGGTTCCTTGGGCAGGAGTACGTTGAGGTACGTGGTCAGGAAGGAACCAGAGACCGCTATCCATGACTCTGACCAAAGTTTCTATGCAGAACCTTTCTGGTAAAGTGAATTAGTTTCATGTTCCTCCCCCAAAGTACTAGGGTGACTAGTACATAAGAAATGACACACTGGACAGAAATGTGTCTCGCCCTATAACTACCAGTCCTTTTCCTCTAACACCCCTAACATGGCTAAACTGAACAGCTAAGATGTGATTTCTTTAACCATGCTATTATCATGCATTGAGTAACGGATTTGGGACTTCCTTTCCTCCAGGTCAACTAAGATGTTAAATTCTTTGAGAGAAAATCTTATTATCTTTTTTTTTTTCTACAGCAACAAAGGACCTTAACCAAAGTCTGTATTTTAAAAAATATTTGTTAAATCTAATTGAACTCATCAAGCCCTGTTTTGCAGAGCTAAGGCCCAGCAAGCAAGCTGTGCCCTGAGCTTGGCATAACAACAATCCTTTGTGCTCACTCCCTGGATGATCTCAGCCACAGCAAAATCCCAGAATTGCTTCCTATAATGATTGAATTGCTTTGACCAGCACCAGGTGTTCTCTGAGCCTGGACAAGCACCTGCTATGTCCACGTTCTGTTCATGAAGCCCTGCTATGAATCAAACTTGTCACATTGTTAGTGTTACTTCTCATTGTCAGGGCTACAGCTCCTTATGCAGCCATTGGCATAAATTCAGATTTGGCCACACTAAAGCAGGTTCCCCCCCCTCCCCCACCAGAGTCAGGGAGCTGGCACTCGTCCATGTCTCTAGCTTGCTCTGTTTAGCTCTAGCCACCCATGGGTTAGAAGCCAGTTTGGTCCAGTTGACAAATTAAACATAAAAGAAAATAAAAAAGAATCTAATCAAATTCTACATATGTTCTTGGGCACAATGAGCACAAAACCCATTGACACTTTTCAAATTCAAGACTGGGAGCTTCATTAGGTAGGGTGGCAGAGGCCAATGCGTTGGGCTGGTGTGTGTTCTGGTACAAGGTGGAAATATGACCTGGCTTGCTGCTAGTCTGTGTCCCACTGGAAGGCTAGAGGCCTGACATTCCAAGAGAGGGTTTATGTCCAGTCCCTCCAGTAGGAGTCATAGAAGGTTACAAGACAGGCAACAAGCCTTTAATTAAGAGCTTACTATATGCCAGGCACTGTGCTAAACACAAATCTTATTTCAGTTCATCCTCACAATCACAACAGCCTAGACTCTCAAGACTAGAAAAGTGTTCTAGTATAACCTGCTCACTTTGGAGAGAAAACTAAGGCCCAGAGAGTGGCAATTAGGGGATCCAATGAAGATCGATGAGCCTGGAATCAGGAAGACCTGAGTTCAACTGTGATATCAGATACTTATTAGCTGTGTGGCCTTGGGCAAGTCACTTAACCTGTTTGCTTCAATTTCCTCACCTGTAAAATGAGGATAATAATAGCACCTGTCTCCCAAAGTTGTTGCTAAGATCAAATGAGATAATAATTGTAAATTGCTTAACACTGTGGCTGGCAGGCACTACATAAATGTTAGCTATTATTATTCCAAAGAGGCTCAGCTTGTTAGTTTAGTAGAGCTGGGACGAAGTCCCAAGTCTCTCTAATCCACTTTGCACTACATCATGCTGCTCTGGCTTCCGGCTCGCACAGTGCAGAAAAATCAGGTGACCTCCACGGTACCAAGGGAACCTAGCCCTCCAGAGACCTAGAGACTAGCTCTTTGTCATCCCCAGGCTGGCCCAGGCTGGAAATCGGAAGTGCGCCAGGCGTTTGGGCATTTTGGGAAATGTAGTCTGTGCTTTATCCTTGGCCAAGCGCCCTTGCTCATCCGCTGGATCTGATTGGTCTCTTCGTAGGACGCGATTGACCTATCCAAGACCACCGGCCTCCACATTGCCTGAGAGACTCTGGGCCGAAGACAGCAGCCCTCGCCGAAGGGGTGGGAAGAGGAGGGTGGACAGAGTAATCAACAGCGACTGGTCAGAGACTCGTTAGAGGCGGGATAAGGAATAACAATGGCTAAGTGGTGCACAGCCTGTCGAACAGCCCGAGGGCAGACCTCATTGGCTGCGCCTTCGCCCTTCTAATCCAATAAATTAATTTTCTCCTCTTTCGAACTACTCACGATCTCCACCTAGCAGAAGTGAGTAGGGCATCCAGGTTCTCCTGTGCTGCGTGCAGTTCTAGGCAGTCTCCTTTTCAGGGGGCGGTCTGGTTACAGGTTTGGTTCTACGGACTCGGAGCCAAAAACATGGCTCCCAAGACTGGAGCTTGTCGTTTTTGCTCCCGCAACATTTAATTGAGGAGGCGAACTTGAGACGCGACCCTGCGAGTCTCATCGTTAGCAGGGTTTGTAAAGGAGGCGGGCCCAGCGGATCCCGAGAGCTGATCGCTCTATCTTGTTCCCTTGCCCCCCCCCCCCCCCGCACCAAGGTGCCCCGCCCTCCAGCTCTCGGTGGTGGGCTTTTTTAGGCAATTGGGGTTAAGTGACTTGTTCGGGGTCACACAGCTAGTAAATGTCAAGTGTCTGAGGCCACATTTGAACTCAGGTCCTCCTGACTTCAGGACCGGTGCCCTTTCGACTGTGCCACCTAGCTACACCACGGTGGTGGGTTTTGGGGCTCTCCTTCGTGGGTGTGGCCTCAGCACTGGGGCGGGGGGGGGGGGGGGGAGTCCCAATGGATCCTGTGATCAGTTACAGTAATCTCAGATATCAAAGAGCTCTGGAGGGGTTCTAATGAGGGGCAGACACTAGTAAAACAGAACTGGAAGGCATCTAATCAAATTTTGTACCTAATACTAAGGTACCAAAAAAAGGCAGTTCCTGCCCTCAAGATGCCTACAGTCTAACTCAGGAAGCTGCAAGCAAACAAGCTATCCACAAATTAAATTAACAGAAGGAAGGCACTAGAATTGGGGGGTAGGAACAGGGGTTGGGAAGGGCTTCCTGTAGATGATGGGATGTTATTTGGTATTTGGAGGAAGCCAGGGAAACCCAGTCCTAGCATTTTATGGAGAAAAAAAGCCCAGAGCAGTTAAGTGACTTAACCATAATCATAGCTACTATGTTGAAGGCAGGAGTTGGGTCTTTCCATGTCTTTATCTACCACACTCAAGCTGCCTCTGGGTAAATGCAACTACTAGTAGTTATGATGTAAGCTCCTTGATGACAATAGTTTTCATTTTGTTTTTGAATCCCAGGTACCTTGCCTTGAAAATAAGCAAGCACTTGAGTCCTTAAGGAATGAACATGTTAGAAGTCTACATGCGCTGTCTCCAATAGAATGGAAGCTACTGGAGATCAGGGACTGATTCATTTTTGTTTTGTACCCCCAGCACTTCCAAAAGTGTCCAGCAAGTAAGATGCTTCATACTACTGACTGTTTCCTGTCTCTCTTCCGCCACTCCCTCAGACCCTGTACAAAAACCCACGCCGTTTCAAGACAAGAGACAGTTTATTGGGGATGAGACAGTGTCAACAGAGATCCCAGAGATAAAACCCTTATTGCCTACCTAGCTTTTTTGTTTGTTTGTTTTAGGGGTTGGGGGAGAGGTCTCCTTCAAGGTTCATTCACATTGCTAGGCCTCTCCCCTGGTGCCACTATGTTTTCTCCACCCATAGCCACCTGGCCTCTTCTTCTGTCCTGGGGAACTGAGGACTGGATACTCTGCTACCCTTCATCGTGTACATGAAAATGACTCTACAGACCCATCAGCAGCAGGGCATGAGATGTGTGCTTTCTCCAGTTACTTAGTAGAATGGTACTACTATATTCTACAATCTTGTCAGGTCCCCTTTCATCTAAGGTCAAGAGGCTGCAAAGTAGCTGGTTGGGGTGGGTGGGCCAAGTACACTGGCCCACTAAAGGATTGGTCTGGCTTCACTGGAACACTATTCTAACTCCGCCCCCCAGCTAACAGTTCAAAGGAATAGCCCTGAAATAGAAGTCAAAGCCCCAGCTGGCAAAGAAGACAGTACCCAGACTGGTCTTCCCCCTGGCAGTGTAATGGGAGCTCTGATGTCACCAGTGGGGAACTGGGGAACTTTGGGAGTTGAGAACCCCTGCACCTGGGGCCAACACATGCCCTGACCTCCTCTTCTCTGGCTCTCTGCCTCCTGACTCTCCTTTCCCACTCCGTGGTTATCACTTCCCTTACTCCCCACCTCAGGCAGCAGCAGATTCCCTCCCATTCCCCTTCTGGACCCATCTCTCTGGCTCCATCACTCTAGTCCAGTCCCCAGCTCGGCCTTGGGGGGCCGAGCTCTGGTAGGCCCTGCTCCGTAGGGCCGCAGTGCCAGGTGCCCACGTTGGTGCTTGATGCGGGCAGAGCTGTCCCCAAAGCCCTTGCCACACTCTGCACACTTGTAGGGTTTCTCACCTGTGTGAGTACGTCGATGCTTCACCAGGTCTGAGCTTCGAGGGAATTCTTTCCCACAGTACCCACAGATATGAGTCCGGCTTGTGCCAGGCGGCCTGCCCCGAGGCCGGGGAGTGGGGGCTGCTGGGCCGGGAGGGTTGTGGGGCCGAAGCAGGGCTGCTGGGGGGGTTGGCGCTGGGCGGGCTCGTTCACCTCGGTGGGTGCGCAGGTGCTTAACACGGGCTGAGCTGTCAGCAAAGCCTTTCCCACACTCGGGACACAGGTAGGGCTTTTCACCTGTGTGCACACGGTGGTGCTTTACCAGGTCTGAACCTCGCCGGAATCCTTTCCCGCACTCAGGACACTTGTGAGGCTTGTCCACTGCAGGAGGGGGCGGCTCTCCAACCTGGGGGCCCTCGGGCTCTGGCTCTAGACCAGGGAGGCCAAAAGGGCCCTCCCCAGGATGGGGAGGACTACGTGGGACAAGTGGAGGACTAGGGCCATGAGGAACTGGTGGAGGACTTGAGCTAGGGGGTGGGCTGGGGCTGTGAGGAGCCAAAGGGTACCCAAAGGCCTGAGGTTCCAGGTGAGTGAGGCGATGTCGCAAAAGCGTAGAGCTGAGACTAAAGGTTCGGCCACACTCAGGGCAGCCATGGGGCCGCTCACCACTGTGTGTGCGAAGGTGCTTGACGCGTGCTGAGCTGTCAGCAAAACCCTTGCCACACTCTGGGCACAGGTAGGGCTTTTCACCCGTGTGCACACGCAAGTGCTTTACAAGGTCTGATCCACGGGCAAACTCCTTTCCACACACATCGCATCCAAATGGTTTTGGCCCCAAGTGGCTGCGCTGGTGGCTCAGGAGGCTGCAGCTCAACACAAAGCGCTTCCCACACTCAGGACACATGTGGGGCTTGTCCCTGGGTGCAGCTGTTGAACCTTGTGGGATGGAGGAAGCAGCCCGGGCCACTCGCCGGGATGCAACCGTGCGGGGAGGCCGTTCACCTCTGTGCGTCCGCTGGTGCTTAATCCGTGCTGAACTGTCCCCAAAGCCCTTGCCACAAACAGCACATTTGTATGGCTTCTCACCTGTGTGTGTGCGTTGATGTTTCACCAGGTCTGAGCTCTGCCGAAAGCTCTTGCCACATTCACCACAAATGGTGGGGCGCTCGCCAGCAGGAATTCTAGGTCTCGGAGTCCGTGGGGGGCCTGGAGCTGGTGGGCGGGGCCGGTATGGCTTCTCACCACTGTGTGTTCGCTGGTGCTTGATGCGTGCTGAGCTGTCCCCAAAACCCTTACCACACACCCCACACTTGTAGGGCTTCTCCCCCGTATGTGTGCGCTGGTGTTTCACCAGGTCTGACATTTGCCGGAAGCTTTTCCCACATTCACCACACACGGGTGCCCTCTCCCCAACCTGTGCCCTTCGTGTTTCTGAGAGAGGTCTGGGAACTCGAGAAGGGGGTTTCCCATGCTCTGCACTTGTCCATATTTCTTCCCAGGTCCCCTCCGGTTCTAATTTGATGGCACTATCTCCTTCATCCCGGCCTGAAGCCACATCTCGAGTTTCCTTGAAACCCAGGCCAGATACCTGTTGGGGGTCATCCTCAAAATTCAGACCATCATGGTGAGGGTGATGTTCATTCTCACTCCCCATACCTGTCAAGAGAAAGGGGAAATTGCAGACCCTGCCCTTTAGCCTCCTGACCCCTTTGCTGGATACTCAAGTCCTCCAGAAAGTCTTCCTGGATGAAACAGACACACATGATCTTTCCTTTCCCTGATCTTCCACATCATATAAGATGCTCACCTGACATTTACCACCTGGTTCACTTGACACACCTTCAAAATGTGTGTGTGTGTGTGTGTGTGTGTGTGCCCATGCCCTCCACTAAGGCAGATCACGATCTTCCTTAGTAAAAAGTCTTCATCAGTTGTTAATAACTGGGAAAAAAATTCATCATCTGGTAGGCAGTCTATGGTAATGAGTTTCTTTTGTATGGCCCTCTGATAGCAGCTATACATCTATGTCACCAGGACCATACTTAATAATAACAGTATTATTATATGTATATTTAGCACTTTAAGGTTTACAAGGCACTTTCCTCCCAGCTCTTACTGTAGCTAGTGAAACATTCCTGGTTTCTAAGGACCTGTCAGAGATGGTACTCTATCAGCACTGCTTTCCAAAACCCTCATAATACAATGAGGCATCACATTAGGATTTCAGCATAAGAAAGGATGTTAGGGATTATTTTTTTTTTCTGGTATATCCCATTTTCTCAACTAGACTGGAAGCTATTTAAGGGAGGGGCCTAGTCATAACCCTTTTTGTATTCAATGTCTGACAAATAATTGATGCCATGTTACCTTTACCTACCTGTTCGAGTGCTTCTAAGGAGCTCCCTCTCCTGTGAACCTTGAAGATCTGGGTGCCATGGCTCAACCCCTTGCTCCATCCCAGGGAGGATATCCTAGAGAATTTTTAAAAAATGCCCCTTAGGGGCTGTACAACCACACTAATTTCTTCTGTTGCTTCCCACCGGCTCAAACAGATAATTTTATGCTGACCAGGGCAGCAAGTTTTTCTTCCACAGTAACAACCATATAGTTCGTGTTTACTAAGTTTCTTAAGGTGCATGACCCATATTTTTATAGCACTTTAAGGTTTACAAAGCATTTTCCTCACAACAGCAGCATGAGGTAGTTCATGCATATATTTTTAACCCACATTTTAAAGATAGGAAATGCAGAGTCAAAGGATTTAAGTAATTTAGGAGGAGAGAATCTGGAGCTGGAAAAGATCATCTAATCCAGGAGTTCTTAACGTGAGTTCTGTAAACTTTTTAAAAATTATTTTTTGAAAACTCTTATTTCATTAGAACTGATTTCCTTTGAAATCCTATGTATCTTATTTTATGCATTTAAAAACATTCCTCTTTACTGTATGACCTTGGACACACATTTTAACTCTGAGCCTCACTCACTCTACCTTTCATCTGTAAAATGGAAGTAAGTCAACAAGCATTTATTAAGCATGTAGCAGGTACTATGGCAGGGATGCAAAGAAAAGCAAAAAACAGTCTCTGGCCTCAAGGAGCTCTTGCTCTAATGGGGTCAGGACAAATTACAGACAAACAAGACAGATACAGAATAAATTGGACATAATCTTAGAGAGAAGCTACCAACCATAAGGAGGGCTGGAAAAGGTTTCATGCAGAATCCTTACATAATAATACATTAACAAGCTCAATGAGTTGTGAGGAAAGGCCTGAGTAAGCCTGACAGCTCTACTGAAATGTGAGCTATTACTTTTATTGCTATCTGGACTGGATGTTGGTTGGTTGTACACCCTTCAACTACATTATTTGCAAAGTTGGGGGGGTTTCTGTTCACTTAGGATTTTATAATGTAAGTTCTGGAGTAGGATCTTCACCAAAAAACCCAACTTTAAAAGTTCTACAACATTTTGCAGTGACAAAACAAAGTGATGTTATCCACATTGAGTGAAGTTAGTCATCACTAATAAAATATCGTACACATCTCAGGCTGCTAACGAATCAAGAATTCCAATGGCCAGTTTTGCTATACAAATTTAGAAAACTTTAAAGAGTTTCTAATTTTGCCTAATAGACTAAAAGTGAGTTTTTTCTTAGCTCACTATGTATATTTGGAAACAAACAAAAAGAACACTAATAAAAAAGCCAGGAATTACCTATGTGCCAAGTACTGTGCTAAGCGTTGGCAGCACACACAAGAAAAAGATAAAGAACCCCTGGAACTAGTCCAACCTCACATCAAGTCAACAAGCATTTATTAAATGCTTAACATGCACCAGGCACGGTGCTAAGCGCTGGCATCCCTCCCCCCTAAAAAAAAGGTTAAGAACCTCTAGGTCTAGCTCAACCCCAAGGCAAGTCAACAAGTATTTATTTATTAAACACCTACTACCTACCAGGCACTGGGCTACTCGGAGGCACAAAAGGGGAAAAAAATAAGTGAAGAGTTCCTGGTCCAATCTCAACTCTGATCACAAAGCATTTATTAAGCGCCTACTATATGCCAGGCACTGTGCTAAGCGCTGGCACCAAAAACAGAACCAACCTCGAGTCACGGTGAGCGCCTCCTGTGCGCGGGGCGCTCCTCCCCCCCAGGG